TATTATGTATTATATATAATATTATGTTGCCATGAATTTTTAGGTATATTTTGTTGTTTAAAATGCAGTTGTCGGCGTTTTTTAGAGAACTCAAATATAAAAATTATTGATTTTAAGGTTATGTTTGGGCAAAAATTATTTTTTACTAATTTCTTAAAAATTTCCAAACTTAAATAATTCTGCACCAACAAATGTACTTACCGAATTGGATTCTTTGGCAAAACCTGAAAATGTAACGATTTAGTTCTTGAATTTTATTTACAATTAAAAACACAATAATTCACCATGATCCCTTTGATAAAATACACACACTAACGTAACTATATAAGTATTTAAGCGTTGATTTTCTTAATCAATGATATAAGGAATAATCAATCGAAATCGAGTACTAAAAAAGTTTTTTAATTTTTTTCTTGCAACGTAAAACACAAATAACGTGCGCGATTTAGCTGTGCAATTGAACAAAATTTATCGAGTAAGACTTCTGCCTTCCTCTCTTTTGTAAAAAACTACCTATTTATTTAAAAATGATGTATAATCGGTGCTTTAAACTTATTGTTGATAATTCTTAAATTCACGCAATGCATTCGAAGTCCACCAGATGGCGCGCGAGTTGCGAAAACCCGATACTCCTTTAGCGTATAGTGTTTACCTCGCGTGGAATCGCAATTACTTCCTCAATAATTTCCTTCGGCTCTCTCGGAAACTTTCGTCATCGGGAGTAATTGCTATGATTCCGTGCTCTGTAAACAATATACTTCCAAATATCTAAACATTACTTAAATTCATATTTAAGTAGGTATATATGTACTATTATTTTTCTTATTATTTTTCAATGTTCCACTGGTAAAACAATATTTTCTCATATATTGTCTCAATTCGAAGTAAGTGTTGGACAAATAAAAATAAAAAAATATGTACTTTCTCAGCCGTTTTTTGCATTAGAGGTGGGATATTTAAAAAATATGTACATATAATATAAAAGTGTTCAAATTATGCGCCAACGTCAAAATATGCATTTATAGGCAGAATAAAAAATTTTTGGTTTACGTAAATTAAAAAGGTTTGTAGGTATTCAGGTAAAATTATCTAGCATACCCGCAAACAATAATGCATTTGCATACAATTTTCGGCCTTATTTAATTGAATACCTAATTATTATTTAAATAAAAGATAAACTATTCATTAAATTTATATGATGCTCTTAATAAAGTATAAAAATATGCATATGGTTAATATTCATGCCGTTTTAGATTAGTTTCAAAATATCGACATTTTTATCAAGTGAAGTTTATTGTACAGTTAATAATTTAATTAAAAAAGCGAGGCAAAACCAACTCAAATTTATTTTTACCTGATTTTTATCGTGGGTTTAACTAACAAAATAAATTAATATTGCCATTTAAGAAACTTATACAGGATGTCCCGAAAATGGTACAGTCAAAGGATAACAAATTACAAATTTTTGACAATTTGAAGTAAAGTTTTGTAGAAACAAATTAAACAGGGGCTTGACAGTATTATAAATAATAAAAGGGATAAGATTCTAATGCCTCATAACTTGTTCTTTAGAGTCATTTACGGCCCACTTATAAAGCAGTATGGAAAATGATAAGCATATCAAATTTTTGGGAATTAACTTAGACCCTAAACTGTCATTTGAGCCACATATAAATGAAACTTCAAGGAAGGTTACTAAACATATATATTTATTAAAATGTACTATTAATATTCTAGATTTCAATACATCTAAGAAGATTTTTAACGCACTAATCCAAGGAACCATAACCTATGGAATTTTAGTTTGGGGCCATTCATCGCATGCCAGCAGAGTATTTGGATTACAACGTAGAGCTCTAAGAACTCTAGTAAAATCGAAGTATCGCGAGGATATTAGAAGAAAATTTGTGGATCTTAACATATTAACAATTCCCAGTAGCTACATCTATGAATGCTTATTATATGCAAGAAAAAACTTGGTTAAATATAATCTACACTCAGATGTTCATAACTATTACACTCGTACTCGATAAAACTTGCAAATAGGCTAAATAGATCCAAAAACGCCTTTTCCTACTATGCCCCATTATTTTTCAATAAACTGCCTTCTCAAGTGAAACTATTGTGTCTTACCAAAATGTGATAAAAAAGTACCTGATCGCTAGCGCTTTTTACAATATTTGTGATTTTATTCAGTCTGATGTATTAATAATTCTATGATCTAAATTACCTATGTACATTGTACAATTCTATCTTATTTCTTTTATTGTTATTGTTCTTTTTATATTGTAATAGTTGATAACTGGTATTCCATAAAATGTATTTGTACATGTATATATACAGCCCGTTCAGACTAAACCCGAATATATCTATATATATATATATATATATGGGGCGTGGCCTCGCCTCCCTCCAACGCGTGACACAGTAGCTAAGCAAATAGCTGCATCGCTAATAAGATTTTTTGCATTATTATCATTTAATTGAAGTCGTCTTACCTGCTCGACCTTTCGTCATGTCGTTTATCACACAAGCTACTGTGACGCGCCTTGGATGGAGGCGAGGCCACGCCCCATATATATATATATATAGATATATTCGGTTTTATTCTGAACGGGCTGTATATATATATATATATATATATATATATATATATATATATATATATATATATATATATATATATATGTGTGTGTGTGTGTGTATGTATTTATATTGTATTTTATGCTGACTTATGTTAAATACGTTTATTTTTGCATCAATAAATTCTATTCTATTCTATTCTAAGGAATAGTAAAAACAATGTTTGCCTAAAGTAAGATTTACATTTTTATAATATTCTCTTTTATTAAATAAAATGGTATTATTATTTTATTTTGAAAGATTTTGAAGATTTATTATTTTACATATGAAAATTTTTAAAACAATTAGTGGGTAGATGAACTTTACATTTATTGCAAAGATAAATAGTATGATTTGCAACTGCTTGAATATTTTTTGACAAATACTTTTAAAACTCATAAGGAATAGCCTTCATTGCACAAAGTAAACTGGCACTTTATCGGAGACCCCTTCCAATCAATTCTGCATTTGACATAATATTATTTTAAGAAAATTTTCTGGATTTGTTTAGGATTGCATTTCATTATTTCAAAAGGATGATTGTTACGAGATAGGGCATCTCTGACTCAAGTTGGTTATATATATATTAGGGTGTCCCTTATTTTTTATTTTTTTACGCATACCCTCTAATTATATTTATTACGTGTTTATATACTCTCAGTAAAAATTTCAGCTCATTCTATAAACGGAAACCCGTGCCGACTTGCATCTGAACCCTCCATTAGCCAACGTTAGGCGCGCGGTATTTTGTAACACGGTTGGCCGCTAGGTCTTCGATCGTAAGTCATTTTGTGTTTGTTATTATGTGACCCTTATATTATAAATTATTAAAAAATGTTAAAATATAGTTTTATTTATGTGTATACTTTAATAAAAATGAATATTTTTACAGGAAGTGGCTAGTTACCCGGAAGTGTCGGGTGAATAGGCCGTAAAACTAATTACCCGAAACTCTTTTTTTTATTATATCTGAATGACAGCTAAAAAATAACCAAAAAAAAATTAGTTGATTTTATCCCCTAAATACAGGGTGGTCCAGGATTAATCTGAAAAATTTTAATGATCGATAGAGCCTGAAAAAACAATAAAAACAAACCCAAAAACATTTTTCAAAAATGCATACTAACGGAGATATAGTCCTTCAAAATAATTTTTAAACCATCAAACCGATTCTTCTTAAATTTTGTGTAGGTTAAGCTTCCGTCGATAATATAATGAAAATTTCCTACAAAAGGCCCAGTGGCGGAGATTTTGGAAGGGGTTTCCCCTTTTTACCCTCATATTTTCGACGCCACTGGATTTTATTAGAAAATCATCAGATTTATTTTTATCCTTTTTCAATCTAAAAGCAAAACTTTTATGTTTATTTTTTATCAGATCAATGGTTTCGAAGATAAATATTTCAGTTTAAAATTTCAAAAACACTGTGTACCCGGAACTTTTGTTACTATTTTAATAATAAAAAATTATTTTTTTTCTGAACGATTGTATTGGGCCAATAAAAATTTACCAATGAAATAATGGAATAATCGCTTTCAATAGGGTGGTTTTTGGGTTGGTTTGATTTTGTATTATAATACAATTAAATTATTAATTACAGACGTTGATTGTAATCCTCAATCAACGTTACAATAAAACAACTTAAAAATATGACGGGTTCAGTAACAACTGCACGATGACTCCTGGACGCTACTTTATTTTTAAAATATTTTATAAACTGATAACGTGGCCAGGCCCGGATTTACCATGCAGGCAGAGTAGGCAGCTGCCTAGGGCGGCAAGAATTGAAGGGCGGCAAATTTTGACGGAAACTTTAAAAACTTGTTATATTTGTGGGAATTGAATTTCCCGCCTTTTGGCAGGCTTACCAACATTATAAACTGCATATTTACCGTCATACGATTTACATTTTAAGCCAAAATTAACATTTTCTTTTATTCCGAGCAAGCGAGCGGCAGAAAAATCGAAGAAAAATTATGACTGACAGTTGGAAATCAATAAAATGTTCTATAAACTAACAGAGAAAAAATTATTTCAGAAATTTTTACGGATATAATTAAAATTTTCACTTTTCGCTAAAGATGTTGTTTCTTTTTATTTGTGCAGATTGTGAAAATGACTCTGACACCGTGTCCGATTCGCATACAGAAACGAAAGAACTTGAAATGACAGTCGACGAATATATTTCACCTAACGAGAACGCGGACAATATTCCTGGCAAAGAAATCTTACAAATAAATGATCCCGCTGATCCCGCAACATGGATTATCAAACTCGGAAAGGTTTCGATCAGAACATCAATGCTGATTTTTTCAAAAGGATGTATAATGACTGGACGCGCTACTTTTCGGCTTCTTTCTTTCACCGAACCCTCTTAAATGGCGAAAAAACTACGACCGTGGCTTGCCTACTCCGTTAGCAAAGGCAGAGTTTATTGCGTTCCATGCCTTTTATTTGGGGAGAAATCGTCTTTTGCCAAAGGTGGATTCAACGACTGGAAGAATGCTAGACATCGCATCACACTTCACGAAAATTCCAACGGTCATCATGATTGCAGTACTCAATTCCTGTTCTTGAATCCAGGGAGAATCGATGCAAATATCACACTTTTACATGAGCAAGAAATCTCTTACTGGCGAAATGTTTTGAAAAGAGTCGTGGCCGTAATAAAAGCTTTAGCCTCACGGGGACTTCCATTCAGAGGTGACAACGAAAAATTCGGTTCACAACATAACGGCAACTACATGATGCTACTAGAATTAATCGCTCAATTCGATCCATTCCTCGCCGAACATATTACCAGATTTGGAAATAAAGGTAGCGGCAGAACAAATTATTTATTAAAAACAATTATCGAGCTTATGGGAAAAAAGTCCTGGACGAAATCGTCAAAGAAATCAAGATAGCCAAATACTACTCGATAATTGTAGACTCTTCTCCTGATATTTCTCATTCAATTTATTGAAAATCCAGGACACAAAGCTGAGAATCTTGAAAATGCAATTCTGTCAACTCACGAATCCCTTATAAGGGATAGCATCAACATCAACGATTGTCGAGGACAAGCGTACGATACCGCTGCAAACATGTCTGGGCCGTACACAGGACTTCAAGCGAGAATCAAAGAAATCAACAAATACGCCGATTATACGCCTTGTGCTGCTCATTCTTTGAATTTAGTTGGAAAACATGCGGCAGAAAGTTGTCCGATGGCCGTAACGTATTTTGCAACGATCCAAAACGTGTACAATTTTTTTTCTGCGTCAACCCACCGCTGGGAAATCTTGACGAAACACTATGCAAATTCTGAATCTGGACGCATAGTTACTGTAAAGTCACTTTCAGGCACTAGTTGGTCAGCTCAAGATGATGCCGTTCACGCTCTTGAACATCATTTCCCAGCAGTCATCTCAGCTTTAGAAGAAATGGAAGATGATATCGTTAAAAAATGTAGCGACGTCACGCTCGTCAAAGATATCCACTTGTTACAATTTAATTTTGAGGAGCGCGTTCGCGATTTATTTAATTTACAATTATGACGGCCGATTTATTAAAATTGATTGTGAGAGAAAATTGGTTTGAGGTAGTATTTCTTCGGATTTGTATTTTGTCATTGTGCCAATTTATTTTTTATATATGTATGCAGCGCAAATAAAATAATTATCGTTTTTTGTTATGGTTATTATTTTAAATAATATTTAAAATAATATATTATAATAGAACTAAAAGTTATAAACACAGGGTGTTTTTATTTAAATTTGACAACGTAGAGGTTGTAAAAGTTTTTTTTTAATTATCGAACCTCTTCTATTTTTACATAAACCTTTTGATTTCCGTTATTTATGGCCGGATTTTAAAAGAAATAAATTTTTTGCAATTTTTAATTTAATTTCCACAATTTTTGTGTTAAACATTTAAAAAATATATCAACGAACGAAAATAAATTTTTTTATGTTAAACCAAAATAAGGTCGATAATTCAAAAATAAAAACTGTAATGCTTAAAGTGATTGCATCCAACTTCCATGCAATAGTACAGACGTTGTTTAAAATGGCAACTGTCAAAATGACAGGTGTCAAAATGAAACCTGTTAAAATGACAAATGCCTGAATGACAGCTGTAAAAAAACAGGTGCCAAAATCCGAATCCGAAATTGAGAGACTCCTGTACGCACCGCAATTACTTTTAGTCAAATTTATTGTTATTGGAAAATATCTAATATAATGCGTGTTTGCCACATTACTTTAAACAACTTTAAATTGGTGTGGAGTTTTTAGATAATGTAGATATTGTTCATTACAAAATAAAAAATAATTATGAAATATAATTTTTTTATTTAAAATATTTTATATAGGTATATTCTTTAATATTTTATCTATTATAAATTAAATTTAACCTTAGAATTCTAACCTAAGAATTTAACGCTTAGATTGTGACGGTTTGTTGACGTCACTGGAAGAAAACATAAAATTCTATCCAATTTAACCTTAGAATTCTAACCTAAGAATTTAACGCTTAGAATGTGACTGTTTGTTGACGTCACTGGAAGAAAACATAAAATTCTATCTCCAATTTGACGCTTAGACTGTGACCGTTTGTTGACGGCAAACAAATCATTGTTATTGAATGGCAATGCGCCGTCCATTTGTTTTGGTGGTCTGTGATTATATCCCAGCGCATTCGCCAATTTTTAAAGTGTTAATAATGGCGAATGCGCCGGGATATTATTTCAAGCTATAGCTAGATGATGTTGGCGAGGTTTGTATGTCTTAAGAAAGAAATTTAACCCCCCGTTCCTAATTCCTAATTTCTTTCGTAGTTGAAAAATTGTGTATAATCCTTTAACCTTATAAATATTCTATTGTTTTATACATGGCTTTGTCTATGTCCTTATTTCTTAAATGTTAAGAGGGATCTAAAATATGACATGCCTAACTATGTCTTTATGGCATTCCCAAAATATTACTGTTACTGTTAACTAATTTTTAATATTAAAACTTAATATATTTTTTATGTATTTTTATATTAAAACATGTATAAATACAATCATTTATTAAATTTAATACACCTTTTTATTCAATTTACTTCTTGTTTCACTTTTAATTGGAAATTTTCCAGCAGTCCGGGCGGCAGCAATATGATTATCTAATGATTAGGACCTCCAATAAAACTAATTGATAATCCCTGCTGTAAACCACCACTTGCTTGTGGCTACGGTATCAGGGATCCTCTACTGACTTGGTTTAAAAGTTACCTAAAAGACCGCACAATTAAAGTAAACATTAATAATTCCTACAATAATGTGTTTAATCTTATTTATGCCAGGTGTTTCACAAAGTTTGGATCCAATTGTTATTTTATATTTTTATAAATGACATTAGAAATAACTTAAAATTCCGTTATTTAATGTTTTTCGACTACTTAAAATTATTTATTTACTCCTATTGCATAATATTGTTTTTTTCCGTATATAATTATAACCATAATAAATTCTTCGCCCAACAACGGGAATATTGAACTCATTATTCACTTTGTTAAGCATCAGTAATTGGCCAATCGCAATATTCACTTTGTCTAGAAAAGTTTATAAACGATAAACCCATACTAAACTTTTTCTACCACAAATACTTATTATTATCTTAAAATGATTTAAATGAAATATTTTTATATAGCACCATCTATAAAACAATAGGGGAATCTGTGTTACCGTCAAAGTCAAATTTGTATGTGTTATAAACACAGATTATAAAGGTTATAAATCGAAATGTTTTTTTGAAAATGGATTAACAACAGTTTTTCACAGTAAAAGTAAAAAAAATGTTTTATGAGCACTTCACAGTGGAGTCAGAGCCCGAACTTAAGTTAAGTATATCTAGTTTAATGCTGGCCAAATTAAAAGGTCAGTAGGTACAATGCTTATGTAAATATTGGCGTCGAGAAACTATTTTATACTTTTGTATTTTTTTATTGAAATATTAAAATAATTTTCACATTTAGTATTATTTAACAAGAAAGGCACTTTATTTTAACGTTTGTATGACATTTGACAACTGTCAACTAAATTAATTAAATTAATTAATTAATTAAACTTCAGCCCATGACTAAGAAACTGTAACTAAAACGCCATAAAGCCACAAGTTGTCAATGTGTATTTAAAAGTTCACTTAGTGTCATGAAAACATGTACGATAATGGGCGTTTTAAAGGTAGGAGTAGAAAAAGTATATTAATTAATTTACATATATTTATATATTGTAAGTTAATTAATATATTGTAAGTTAATTAATTATTTATATTCAATCAATATTATTCATAGCCCTCTTATTTAAAAGTAGCCAGAGGTAAAAATTGATTTTTTTAATTTTTTAAATGCTTTTTGTTATTCCTGTATAACTTTCTAGTTACCAACGACTTTTAAAGGTAAAGCAGACAAGTAAAACTACACAAATACTAACTTTTGAGTAAACAGTAAAATCTGCCAGTAAACTGTCGTGTAGGTACTGTATATATTGTCGCGGATCACTGCACTACATATTCTATTTCATATAAACTGAAAACGTCAAATTTTGAGTTGTGTTATCCTTGTAGCCGAGGTGAGATTTGTAGGTGCTTTTTGACTGCGATCTTAGTTAATCTCAGGTAACATCGGTAAAAAATTTAAATTTACGCGGTTTTTTTTTCTTCACTTACTTCTAAGTCCTAAGCCAAGGTTTTTGCTCCCTCCTCACCGATACTGCATATGCTGTGCGGGGTATCAGTTAGAGTTAAGTCAGAAATAAAGTGGAAGTTACTGGGTTTTTTCACGTTTTTAAAATATTAATACTTTAATTTAAAGTTGTTCTATGATTCAAATAAAAAATATTTTTGTATTACAAGTTTAGGCTACGTTGTCACACTTATGCTCTGTGTTGCCACAATTGAGTGTACTGCAAATGTGTCGTTCTAACAACAATTATAACAATAATTATAACAGCTGTTGATAGTAACCCCAGTAGCACCAAATATTGGTCCTATATGGAGTGCGTCTATGCCCAATATTTTATCTGGGGATATATTGGATTTATATAGCTGATGTTAGCCCTATATTGGCATAAAGTGATATGTAACGACACACGTTTGTTTCCCGGATATTTCTATACTAGTGGCGCAGGAACGGTTTTAAGTTGGGGGGTGGCGCAACCGACTACAATCCTTGTTTAGCACCAAATGGGTGAAAAATATAAAGCCCATTCTTGCCTATTACCGTAAGAATAACAAGGGTAATATGTGATTTCTTGTCTTATTAGCAATAAAATTCGTTATTACGTTAACAAAGCTCAAGCTGATCGTTTTAGCACACGATACAAACGATTTTAGCATTTCATCGTAATTAAGAATAACAAAGACGGTACACGACTTGCCTTATTGGTAGATTTTGTCAAAGAATTTGGAGGGTACATTATATATCAAGTAACCCCCCTCTCCAACTTATCATTTGGGTGGGAATTGTCAACGGCCCCCCGCTTCTACGCCCCTAAGTACCTACCATAAACATTTCCCGAAAACAAACGTTTGTCTACACGATCGTTACATATCACTTTTAGAAATCCTACTACGTAGTAAGTACTAGGTGGCTATCTTTTTTTTCTTTCTTTACTTTCCTAGAATATAATTTAAAACAACTTCGGGCCAATGCGGATTTCCAATATCGGTTATATAATGTCAAACAACTTCGGGCCAATGTTGGGTTTCAATATTGGACCATGCTAGAAAAAATCTGACGAAAGATATATTGGCCCAATATAATTACAAATATTGGGCCAATATATTTGTGCTAATGGGGAAACCAGGCACCTTATTAATTTTTGTGTTTGGGCTGTCGCTAGATTTTAGTTAACTTTTTATCGATAGAGTTACTTACATATACTTGACAGATTTTTATCGACCAACAGGTTGACATGAAACATATTATTCATATTAAAAATTAAAAAAAAAATTAACCATTGAGATATATATATTTTAATGATTTAACTAATCAATACATATAGTGCAAACAAATGTAATAATAATTTAACTTAAATCGGTCTTATGCCATACGGACTTACAAATCATTTACAGCTTAGGGATTTTTGACTAGTGTCAGATTTATCCAACTTCACTTTCTACCTTTAAAAAATATTATTATAATTCTACGTTTTATGTATCGTTTAACAAATAAAATTGTTCCTTGAAGATGTTGAAAATGTTGAATGACATTCGACTGCTTCATTCACAAGCGTTAGCCGCCGGGTTTTATGTACCATTTTATTTAAGATTAGGTTCAACTGACATAACAACATTTTAGCTTTATTTTTGTATGAAGTTTAATAATTATTTGACTTCTGAACTGGTAATAATAGGAAGTATTTCTATATAGAGTTATGAGTATTATAATATGAAAATTAATAAACGCTTTAAAAAAGTCTTTACTAAGGATTCATCACACCAAAAATCAATGAATTGCTGAGTTTACTCTATCCGAAACAGACATTTTTGGCATTTAATTGATTTAAAAAAAAAAAAAATTATACCAATACAACACAAATTTTATTGAAATATTTGACTACCTTAAGATGAAATCGATTAGGTTTTTTTTTCAAGTTTTTCAAACCAGTCCGGTCAAGAAGTGTCTTTTTGTCCATTGCTTGGTTGTAACCCTCCGCTACGCGTCGGCCTTCAGCACAAAAAGACATACCAGAGTCATTCCAAATAAAAACACCAAATGGGGTGCGCAACTTTTAGAAGTCTGAAATCAGTTAATTTCTGATTCTCTAGTGGACCAGAACTGTTTTTCTGTGACAAATATTTAAATGATTTTAATTTTGTTTTACTGTCCAGTAAGTGTGTTTTCGGTATAAATTATTATTATCCAATTAGTTAATCTCATAAAAGAATGGTAAACCACTATCGATTCATGATAATTTGCCAATTTTTGTGATTTTTGTCTGGTTTCTGTGGCTATTCTACTAAATCTAAAAAGTTATTTTTTTCAGGTATCAAGTACTTACGTATACAATAGAAAATGTAACTATTATTTTAAGTTTTTAGACCATCATTTTCTTTATTAAAAACATTATTGAAACTTAATAATTCTCAAAATTGAGGGAAAAATAAAAATCTGAAACTTTCAGGAAATGTAGTCCCCACCTTCATCTTTTCAGTCTGGTTAGTCTTGTTTTGTTATTTTTATTCCTTTAAAAGATATATTAATTTTTTAATAGTTAGCTATTGCTTGATACTTGAAAAAAAGCAACTTTCTTGATTTAGTAGAATAGGCACAGGAGCCAGACAAAAATCACAAAAATTGGAAAATTATTACAAATCTTTAGTGGTTTACCATTCTTTTATGAGATGAACTTATTAGATAACAATAATTAATATTGAAAACATACTTATTAGGCAGTAAAATAAAATTACAATCATTTTAATAATTGCCACAGAAAATTACACGATTTCAGGTTTCTAAAGGGTGCCGATTAAAAGTAAAGCAACTAAAAATTAAAACAGCAACGGTTTTTCATATAAGATCACCCTCAAATTTAATTTTGTTTTAATTTGAATTGAGTCACCAATAACAAAAATAAATATTTGGTAATCTAAATTAGTAATAAAAAATAACTTCAATAAATTTACTTTTTTTCGCTAACGCGATAAGCAGCTTTTTTTAGCAAAAAAAATTGTTTTAAATTAATTAAATGACATATGCTTGACAAAAAAAAAACAATATTTTGCGATAATTCCAGTATTTTTTCTGTTAACTCCAAAAAAGAAAATTTTTACATGATTTTAACTCCAACCATAAATAACTTTTAAAAGAGTTAAGTTATCAAAAAACTATAGGATACCTTTTTGTAAAGCATAAAACTCTTTATGTTTTGGACATCTTTGAACATTGACTCGTTACTGAATACATAAATAACTTAAATTATTGTTCCAAGTTAGTTAATTCAATGAAAAATTGCATTCAGGAACCACTAAATAATAATTATTATAATATAAAGGGCTTAAATTTAAACAGGCTCACAGTGGCCAAAATTCAAAATATCGATATATTTTTTTTCATAAATTCAAATACGGTATACCGTATATGCTATATGCTATAGAGAATGTATCCATGCTGCAAATTCAGGAAAAATTGGGCCCAGTTTTTCCTATGTGAGCTTTAAAAGTACCTACCCGAAAGGTCCTCTTTTTATACTTGCGAGAGATGTGTCCACATTTTAAATCTTAATGCTTTAAATTTTCTTTAACGGCATATGGAGAGAGTTGCTGAAGGTTTGCTGTATTTTAAATTTGGTAGCATAATGAATAACGAAGCAAGAACTACCATCAAAAACAAATTTTATAAAAATGTCAATAGCATTGGCCATTTCTTGACTTCTGCAGAATAAGTTTTTATGTGCAAAGTATTCTTGGACATTTTAAATTTCTCCTCGGTTTTAGAATTATAATAAAATAAAAAAAAAAATGTTGGTGATGCTAATCTTATTTTCGCGGGTACTTAGCCGCCCTAAGGATTTTAAAACAAAAATATATAATTTTGACGGTTGTGAAGTTTAGTAATACATATAAAATTTTTGATTAATTATAACACAGCCTTACTATTACTATTACTATTAAATTTAATCTACAGAGCGGTTGACCCCCCGAATTTTTTGTTTTTTATTTAACTTTGTAGTCCTCTTACAAACCCTATATCTTAGGTAGGTGTCACAGTTTTCGAGTTATTTACAAAAATATCCATTATGCATGTACAAGATAATAAGAATTAATTTAAATAGTCCTGACAATGAAGTAAGCCGTAAATTATCGAACGGAGTAATGTAACTATGTATTGGAAATTTACATGTAATTTACTATGTATTTGGTAATTTACAAAAAAAATAATCTTGGCGTACAGTAGTAAAAAGTTTTATTGCAATAGATTTAAAAATATATGGTGAACTTTACCAATACCGAGATTGCCAACATACATTTTACATACAGACTTTCTAATGAAAAGGCATATGGAGCTAGACTTTTTATCAGGAAAGTTATCCAAACCACAGAACTCCTAGTTCGAAACATTTTTAAATATCCAACTTAGATTAAGCGAAACGTGAACTTTTAGGAAAGCCATCCATCTTTTGGATCGACATCGGACGAAACCAAGGAGACAGTTCTTAATTTGGTAGGCAAACATCTGGAAACTAGCACCAGATAAGTTAAACATCTCTCATTTTTTGGTGTGGAAAATTGCAATCGATAATTTATATAATATCCCACATTCAGAGAGTTCACCCTCACTTCTTCCTCGTGACTTCTCATTACATATCAAATTTTGTCATTGGTTCCTGCAAAACTTTCTAAATCCTTTATTTCAAAATCAAATCCTTTTTACTGACGAAGCGTTTTTTACGCAACCCTATAAGAAATTTTTATAACAATCACAACACTAGAGAAATGTCTAAAAAATTAAAATAAAACTTTAACACCCGTCAGTGACCTTGACCAAAGTGTTCTTTACCTCACCCTTATATAAATATTTTATCTTAGAAATACTTGAGGAACCGCCCTGTCATATATCGGACATTTATTAATCAATACCTACCTATACTTTCAAAAACTAGTTGAGTAAAATAAGCTGGATGAGAGGCGGCAATTTTGCAGCTACGTAGGGCGACGAATTGTCTTAATCCGCCTCTGCTTTTACTTAAACGGAATAATTTCTATGGTACACACAGGTGTGAGCTCGTGATTAAACATTCACCTAGAGATAATAAAGTCTATGCTTGTATACACGCATTATTCACTAAACATGGTTGTGCACAAGTAAAGTTTATATGATTTAATCAATAGCTTAAATGGAGTTTCTGTTTATATACAGTGCATTTGAATAGACCGGGTCAGGCGATGAACTCGTCTATTACATAACCGTAAATTTAAAAAACATTTGTTTATTTAAACATCAAATTACTTTTCATGAAAGAAACATAAATATTTATCATGATAAATATGTTGCAACATATAGTTTTTATATAGGATTGGAAAGTTATTATTAAAAAAATATTATTTAGCATGAATAATTTGTGCACATCCTGTATACAGGTTGCATTTTTGCCTTGCATTTGTTAATTATTTGTAGCTTTTGTAATTAACATTTATTAGAGAACGAAGAACAGATCAATCAATATATAATTTTGGAAAAGACAACATTTTTATTTTAAGTTGTTTCAAGAATTAAATTATTGAGGACTTCAGATATAGTTTTTGTTTTGTTAAATAACACATCTGAATTTTTGTCAAGGTTGGGTAAGGTTTTTTGAAATACCCTTACGCTACACAAATTATGTGTATATAAATTCATTTATTTAAGACAGAATTGCATCGTCCTCGAGTAAAAATAATGTATTCACTCAATTAACGTGCCGCTTAGCTTCAGAAATTCAAATACGACGTGGAATCATAATAATTTAAACTTTATGGTAGAAAATCATACTTCATATTAAAATTTGATAATTAAATAATTTTTAATAGTTGGAATACGTATTTTTTAATTAAAAAAAAATTTATAAATAGAGCACGGTTTTGTAGAACATATATTAAAGATAAATATGTTGCTTTCGGACTTATCTTTAATATATATATATATATATATATATACAGGGTGTTATGTAATTAATGTTATATATTAAAATACTGAATACCTTTTGACATAAGGAGTAAAGGAAAAATATTTAAAAAAATATTTTTCCAAAGATAAAGAAAAAATATGCATTAGAAGTTTTTTATATTTTTTGCGATACGCCACTGGTTACACACTTGGTTTATCTCTTCACACTTGTGTTCTGTGAGTACCTAGATACCAACCAAAAAAGTAGCTGCGCGTTGCCAGATGTAAAAAATTGTTACTAAAAATTTTTCTTGCAAAAAATAAATAAAAACTCAATAAATACAAAGTTTTATGCCCTTAAAGCTCTAATACCCTTCTGTATTTATTTACTCATCCAGCTAATAGCTTAAGCAATGATTAGAAAGTTTAGTACCTATTTTAAAAAATCCATAACCACAAAATTAATTTTTTCATCGGTTTTTTTCTTTCTGTGTACTTACTCAGATGAAATTGGGATCAGTTCACAGGTTAAACTTTAAACATTTAATTTGTGTAAATAAATCCAAAAGCACTTCCCTTAGTTAAGATATTTACAATTTGAGCACATAACCTAAAATTTGAAAGGAATGCACTAGATTCTGTCATAAAAGTTGGCAGATTTTGTTTGAAGTTGCCTTCAGTACAAAAATGACATAACAAACTATTAATTAAAACGCCAAATTGACAATTTGCATTGTTAATTTTGTCATTTTTGTAATTAAGCTAAATTTAAACAATGTTTGTCAACTTTTTTGACAGAATTTGGTTGTTACCAACCATAACATAATAAATTAAATTAGAAAACCAGATAAGTTTAAAGTTTCTAGTCGATCAGTGGCGTACTTTTTGGTAGGATAAAGGTTATTATAAATTATTTTTAGTCTTTGTAATTTAGAAAAAAAAAGTTTCAGGTGCTTCTTTATGGACCCTAAGGAACAACCCATTTTAATATTGATTATATTTTTATGATTTTTCTAGTACTTACGAGACTTTTCTGGCAATAAATTTTGTTTAACACCAAAGAAAATCCTTTTTTTCTTCTTTAACATTAACAGCCGCTTATTGTAAATAAGTAAATTAAGGACGCCATGGCGAATCGATTTTGACATTAACCCTTCAAACCAATGACTTTGATACCAACTACCTAAAGTTAAATTTGACCAAATTAAATATAAGGTATAAAATTAATTTTTTTATAGAACTTTTGCATAATAGATAAAATAGCATAAAGAACTCATGTCATAAGACCTTCTGTCGGACTCGTCCATTACAAAATTCGCTCCTTCGTCGCTCGTTTTATAAATTGTTCTCGTGCGACAAAATGGCGTCTTATGACATTATTTTTTTAATATACTATTAAAGACTTTCTTCTTCTTCTTCTTATGACGTATAATGGCCTTTCCCTTCCTAGATTTAGCCAGCTAAATTCAATTATACCTATAATACAAATTTTACTATGATTAAGGGTCTCAGTTACGAGAGTCTGAATTCAACTCATCCCTTGAATAATTTCCACAAACATTATGCTTTCCATAGTCTTCTCACTAATATTCTTACTTTAAATCAGTAGTTCTCAAACGTTTTCCAATCACGCCCTCTTTTTGATGTCATGAAATGTTTACGCCTCCCTGATAATTTAAACAAAAGCTTTACTGCAAAAACATTTACATTTATTTATTTCACCCATAATACCCATTATAGCTGGTTTTACTGTATTTTAATGTAGTCTTAAAACAGGTTCTTTGCTTTATATTTATTTTTTAGTACGAAATAACTATTTTTACAAACGTGCTTTCTTTTCGCACGCTCGACATTGCGGAAAGTACCAACTTTCCGCTCGCTTGCAGAAAAAATATTTTTCTATAAATGGAAACTGATGAAGATTCCCTTGGTTAAAGAAAAAATATACCTGCCGCGAAAAGTATCTTTGCCGCACTAGACTGATAACCTAACTCTGCTACGCGTCGTTTCTTCAACGGCAGTAGCGTGCTGAAAAGTAGCACTCTTCACACTAGTTGGGTAAATAACTATTTTAATTTTTGTTAATCTACATTTTTAACAGAATTTTTTCTGCGCTCTCATGTCCCCGAGTTTAAAAATCACTGCTTTAAATATTTGTTCTTAATTTATTCATTAATTCCATCTTCCCATACACATTATTAATAACTAATTCACTGTACGATTTAAAAACATTTATATAATTTTTTTTTTATTAATATTTCTTTTTTTCTTTAAATATATCAGAAATTCAATCAATATTTTCATTTTAAATAATCCAAATTCAATTTTGTATTCGTTTCAACAATGCATTACATGGAAAATGGCTAACCATCCGTTGTGGACATTCCTTGTTACTTGCCCAATCTGATGTAGATTTTTTTTATATTTGATAGTTACCTGCTTATTTTTGTGTTGGAATTTTAACTTTGTCCTTCCAGAGATACAAAGTTACTTATATTTTAAACGGTTCATAGAGCAAGTGCCTGGCTCGAAAAACTAAACCCGAATATTTTGAAGACTAAATGCAAAAATATAGGTTGTGACGACAAATTCGGCAATGTAAATGTAGTAAAAAGAAAACGTTGTATTTTGATTAACAAATTAATTCTTTATCCAGAAGTAAATTATTATTAAAACTGAAAATCAGTATACAAAGTAAATAAATAAAAATTGTTACGTTGTCCTTATAATGAAAGAATTAAGGTTTAAAAATGTTCTATTTTTGTTTTTCTTGAGTTGAACGCACAAAATATAAAAATGACGGTTTCAAAATGTGTGCAAAAGTTTGTATTGTTTGTATTTTAAGGTTAGAAAAATCTATTTTGACCAAAATAAATAGGTGGATTATTTGGAAGAGTGTGTTAATATGGTCATAAATAAATATAGGTATACTAAATAATTGTTGAATATGGTTCAAATTAAATTAAAGCTTTTATACTTCTAATGACAAAACTTGTGCATACCTCTCGGCATACCTACTTTAAGTTAGATTATAAGAAAACAAACAATTTTTAGAGAAAATATTTCATACTCCCATGACATGTGATTTATTAAAATGTTTAAAGTTATAATGATTTTTCGATGTAGATCAAGTTCAGTCGAAGCTTTTTAACTATTGGTATTGACAAAACTTTATGTAGGTACACTTTAAGCTGGATAAGAAAAACTACCACATTTTTAAATACCATATTATACAGTCTTTTAAATAATCCAAAATACTTATTTATTTTGGTCAAAATTAATTTTTTAACCTTAAAAAAAATTAGATGATATTTTTGTTATAATATATTAACCTACCTTTAAAGCAGATATTCTTATTCCATAATAGAGAAGCTACATTTTTTTTATTAAATGCTGTTTAGTTAAAATTATTGTATGAAGAAAACCAGATATTTGGACCGAATGCACAAAAATATTACTTATTTGGCACCATACAGAGCTGTTCCGAGTACAATGAAAAAGTACTCGAGTACTGAATACAAGTACTCTTATATAAAAGTACTCGAGTACCAAGTACAAGTACAGTACCGTTGTACTCGAGTACCCATACGAGTACAAAGTACCGAGTAAAC